CCTCATGCTTGACTTGGATTCACAAGGAAAAGGCATCTTCATGCTTGCCTTTGATCCACAAGGAAAAAGGCTTCCTCAGACTTGCCTTTGACCCACAAGGAAAAAGGCTTCTTTAGACTTGCCTTTGATCCACAAGGCAAAATGCTTCCTCAGACTTGACTTTGATCCACTAGGCAAAAAGCTTCTTTCATGTGTGCTTCGACCCACTGGGCAAATACTCCCTCTATACTTGCTTTCAGCGCACAAGGCAAATGCCCACTCAACTTGCCTTCAATCCACAAGGCAAAAGGCCCTTTTCAACTGACCTTCGATTCACAAAGCAATGGCTATCAACATACAAGATTCGACTAGGAAATGTCTATCTTCAGGCCTACTCTGACTTCACCTCTAAAAACCTTTAAGACACAGTTTTCCATACTTCGACGCAAAAGATGGTACCTTTGAAAGAAGCATTCATATGGTCCATTCGAAGAAGCATTCAAAGGCCTATTCGAAGGACATGCAAGTGGTGCCTTCGAAGGACATATATTTGGTCCATTCGAAGGACACACAAATGGTGCCTTCAAAGGACATACATTTGGTCCATTCGAAGGATATATAAATGATGCCTTCAAAGGACATACATTTGGTCCATTCGAAGGGTACACAAATGGTGCCTTCGAAGGACATACATGTGGGGCATTCGAAAGAGCCTGAGGGCGAAACATGTCCAGGTTCACTCAAGATTTCAAAATGGAAAAGATTATCCAAATATGGCAAGCTTTCAATATGTTGGATTTTTTGTCTCATGGCTTTAAAAGCCTTTGTCTCTTGTCATACTTGCTTTTCTCCTAACTCTATAAATACAAGGCACAACACAAGTATAAGGGGACAAAAAAAAGGAAAACGAAACACTTGCCACAAAAATATTCTTGCAGAGACGCTGCCAGCATAGAGGAGACGGACTACATCACATAGAGTATCAATCGAAACTGCAGATGCATTGTGTGATACGGTGGCAGAACCGACTGTTACACTGGTTTTGCGTTTGTCTTTGCAAATGTTACAGTAAGCAAGAGTTGCAATATACTTTTCTTTTATCCAAATTAAGGAAAGGGTGAAAAGAATAGAAAAAGACCTTTTCGATCATTTTCTGAGTAAGGGGGTAGATTATGGAAAGGGATGGTGTTAGCACCCTTTCCATCCGTATTTTTCTACGGGCTCTTAGATGCTTAGCTCATTTTTTGAAATACCTTGTGCTTTATGTTTTTGAAAAAGTATTTGAAAATTCCTTAGTGCGGAGATTCACTTTACAATAACTCTTGTATCAGTCCTCAAGAGTGTTGACAAAGCGAATATTTTTGAAAATGTTTTTGAAATGTTTTTGTGTAGGTGTAAAAATTTGTTTTGAGAAAGCATCTAACAGCTATCTACTTGGACTCAAAAAGGTCGTTCTTTTCCTCCTATCCTTTAGACAGTGTTATCCTACTATTACTAAAAATGGGAGGACAAATTTTGGGGTAAAACAAGAAGATTTAGATGCTTTTAAAAAGTTAGTTTCACATTAAAATACTTTTCCTACATTGGATGCTAAGGTTTTAAATACCGAAGAGAAAATGGACGCTCTAAAGCATTATATAGTAGATAGTCTGAAAGTCGAGAATGAGAATGATGAACTGTCTACGTTCGGTTGTGAAACTTGTCAAACTTAGCAAAAATAGGCTATCACTTCTAAGGATAAATTGGACGAGACATCACAACCAAAAGTTGCAGTTGCTATTGATTGTTCTATGATTAAAAGGAGCATGAACAAATCCCATAAAAAGGATAGTTGGAATAAAAAGAATTCCAATAGCAAACGTAAATCACCTCATAATTTGACTTGTTTTTATTGTTGTGAAAAGGATCACACTATTGAAAAATACAAATTTAGGAGTCTTTTAGTTCCTAAAGGTATTTTTCAATGGTTGCCCAAATGCAACCATGTTTTCACTCACTCCCAAGAACCCAATGAAATTTGGGTACCTATCACCATTGTTTGATCTTGTAGGTTAAATCCCTTAGCTCTATGGAAAGAAGATGGATTCTCGATAGTGGATGTTCAAGGCATATGACGGCAGACATTTCCTTATTCATCGACTTTGTGGTGAAGAAGACAGGCTTTGTGTCCTATAAAGACAATACAAAAGGTACAATACTTAGAAAAGCTAGTGTAGGTAATCCCTCATCTACCACTATCTTCGATGTTATGTTAATTGAAGGCATTAAACATAGTATTCTAAACATTAGTCAATTGTGAGATAATGGGTATAAAGTTTCTTTTACCAAAGATCATTGCATGGTTGTACACAATGAAAATAAGAATTGCATGTTTAATGGTGTGAGGGTAAACAACATCTATATGCTTGACTTCAATGATGTATCTATGACCAATGCTAAATGTCTTGTTACTGTGAATGAAGATTCATGGCTATGGCATAGTTGTCTAGCTCATGTCAACTTTGACTTGCTTAATAAAGTGGTTTCAAAAGATTTTGTAATTAGTCTTCCAAAAATAATATTTTCAAAAGATCATTTATGTGATGCGTGCCAAATGAGTAAGCAAACAATGGTCTTCTTTAAATCTAAATACATTGTTTCAACATCGAGACCCCTTTAGCTTATCCACTTGGACCTCTTTGATTCTTCACAGACCAAAAGCCGAGGTGGCAACTATTACGGTTTTGTTATCGTGGACGATTACTCTAGATTTTGTTGGACCATTTTATAAAGAAGCAAAGATGAAACCTTTGTGGCCTTTACACGTTTTGCTAGGTTATCCCAAATTTGTTTTTGAAAATTATTGTTATTCGAAGCAATATCATGGAGGTGAATTTGAAAAACACCTCTTTGATGAATATTGTGATAAATATGGCATTGAACATAACTTTTCAGCTCCTAAGACTCTACAACAAAATGGTGTTGTGGAGCGCAAGAACTGCATTTTAAAGGAGTTGGCAATATGTGACATAAACCTTAGACTATAGAACTAGAGATGGAATTTTTTTATGTCTCCCATCACATCTTAGAACAAACACTATCAAGATACCATAGATTTGCAGTGGTCTTCAAGAAAACCTATAAAATAAATTAAGTTTTGTTAGGTACTCAATGTGCCTTGTATCCTTTATAATTAGTTCCTTTCTTGATCCACACATAATGCCCATTAGAAACACTAAAATTACTTACATAACAAGAATTATGTGTGTGGCCAATTATACACCAATAAAAATATGTAGGAACAAAATTACTTCTATATCTATGAACATGAGATTTTCTCTTAACAAATCTCTTCTTATGATAATGATGTACATGTTTCAATTTGTCCACTTTCTCTTTTATGGATTGGTCGCTTGCCTTAACAAAGATAGTTTTGCTAGAACTCGGTTTATCAAATTTAGAATAACCAAGTACACTCTTGTCACTCTGAAATACGAAAGAACTCATCCATGCTAAGTACACCTTGAAGTAGGTTGATTTATTTATTGCCGTTGATGACCTTTTTCTTATCATCTTCATCTTATGAACTTTCGATTTTGGGTGTGCCTACATCATTTACGACACTTGTAGGGAAGAATGGCCATTTACTATAACTTTCCATATTTCATCTCCATGTGCCTCTTGATGTGCCTTCATACAGATTTTTTAAAAGTCAAAGTATTGACCACAAAATAATTGAGGCTTGTTATTGCTACCACAATCTCTAAAAGTTAGATTTGCGGAAGCTATTATGGATCTTTAGGAAAAAATTACCTATAATCTGCTCTGATGTCAATTGTAAGTACAAAGTGCATTTTAAAATTTATTGGAATCATATTTTATGTCAAAAAGTGTCACTACTTCCGTAGTAATCAATTAATACATAATCATAACCGATTATAGCTAAAGTGAGTTATAAAAGTTCAATTTTTTTAAAGGTGCAACCTATTAGATGTATTGGTTAACCGATTACACGTGATGTTTTTATGAAAAATACTTAAAATTTCGTTCATGTAACCAGTTAACAATATATTGTAACTGATTACACCTGATGCAAAAGTGAAAAATACCTTAAGAATAATTGAGATGTGAAACCATTTGATATAAAAAACAATTTTATGAATCAAGATGAAATGTCAATAATGTTTATGAGCACTATGGTAAAACACAAGAATAAATTGTAACTTGTACCTCAATGAAGGGGTCACTTTTCTAAGTTCCAATGTTATCTTGACATTGATGCTTGTGACACAATTCTTGTTACCATAAAACTTTGAACATAGATTTTTATGATGACATGCTAGAACTTATAGAAGTGGAGAAATAAAACAATCTGATATCTAACAATTCTGTTTTAGTTATTAAGAAGATTGTCAAAGATATTAAAGATTACAAAATGGAACCTCAGTTTAAAAGTATATATTGGTTGGAACCACCTACAGGAAGGAGATATCAAGCTCAATTATTATTATTATATTAATACTATTATTAATACTTCAGTTATTATTATTATTATATTAATAATAATAATAATAATAATAATAATAATAATAATAATAATAATAATAATAATAATAATAATAATAATAATAATAATAATAATAATAATAATAATATATTAATCCTATTATTAATACTTTAGTTCATCATTTTTAACATAATTTTTTTTACCATTAGTGTAGAATTTCATTCGGTGAATGAGCAAGAAATGATAAGAAAATAAAACAAAATTGCAAGAAGCTAAATTCAATTAAAAAAAGTCCGGATCGATTCTGATTGGTGAGTTTTAGGATAAACGGATCGCCAACTAAGCAACAGTGAGCCATAGATATGAGTTATATTTTCTAATCTAACGGTTAATATGTTTTCAAAGCAAGATCCTCACCATGACACCGTGAAAGTATAAAATCTTACCAACACCAGATACATTTTCATCTCATTTTCTCACAACTTCTCACATTTCAGCGAATTCACAGCTTGAATCTAGTTTTCGATCTTCAAAAATGGACGCAAGCACAAAGGTGAAGAAGGGGGCAGGAGGAAGGAAAGGCGGAGGACCAAGGAAGAAAGCGGTCACAAGATCCGTCAGAGCTGGCCTGCAGTTCCCCGTCGGAAGAATCGGCCGTTTCTTGAAGAAAGGTCGATACGCTCAGCGTGTTGGTACTGGTGCTCCTGTTTACCTAGCCGCTGTTCTCGAGTATCTTGCTGCTGAGGTAATTGTTTCCTCTTTGAAATTCATTACTACTGAGTTTTAATTTTGTTTGAATTTTGATGAATTTGAATTTGAACCCTAACTTTGATGAATTTTGGGATTTATAGGTTCTTGAGTTGGCTGGAAATGCGGCGCGTGATAACAAGAAGAATAGGATAAGTCCGAGGCATTTGTGTTTGGCAGTGAGGAATGACGAAGAGCTTGGGAAGTTGCTTGCCGGTGTTACTATTGCTTATGGTGGTGTTCTTCCTAACATCAACCCTGTGTTATTGCCCAAAAGGACTCAGACTGCTGAAACTGCTCCTAAGTCTCCTTCCAAGGCCAAGAAAACTCCCAAGTCTCCTTCCAAGGCCAAGAAAACTCCCAAGAAGGCTTAAATAGATTAGGTTTATTAATTTCCTTTTTGTCTATATCTTAGTTTAGACACTTCTCACGTGGAAGAGAATTGTTTAATGTATACCAAGAAATGCTATTTGAGTTCTATATCTCATGTACTAGAGTGATTGGTTAATGAAAACATTTTGTTTTTAGTCACTCCCTGTGCTAAGTTTATGCATCTTGATTATATGTGGTTGTTTTTTTTATCTCTTTTTCTGCTTCAAAAGACAATTTTAGAAATGATTTTACTGAATCAGAAATGTTGAGATGTTGTTTTAAAAGTAATATCTTTGTGATACAATTTCGCATTTGGAATGGGATGCATTTGAATAGGATGTGCGTGCTTGTGGTGAAGGTGATGTATAACCATAGTTAAAATTCAAATTTGTGATATAGTTTTTGGTAGAATAAAATGGAGAAATACTCCATGATATGGTGGAAATAAAGGTGTAACACTCGTGGTGTTCCTACTGAGATAGAATTTTTGTATTTTTCAAAATGTTACATCTAAATCTCAAAATATCACACTCTCAATATATTGTCGCCATTTGAAATGGCTGGTCCAGTGAGCTTTCGCCATTTGATATGGCCCAAGACTATTATATATATTTTTTCTTCCCTTTTTTGATTTTTTGAATTTAAATAATACAACTTTTATTATTTTTATTATTTAATTAATCATAAATTGTTAATAATTAATTAAATATAGTTTTTAAACAATAAAAAATAATAAAAACATTAAAAATAATTATAAATAATAATATTAATCAGATTAACAATTCAAATAAATATTATTTAACATAATTATAAATAATAATATTAATCAAATTAATAATTCAAATAAATATAATTTAATATAATTATAAATAATAATACATAGGTGCAAATCAACAGTTACAAGAGGTTAAGTAATTGAAACTTATTAGAAGGGCTTGGAGCGTTAGGCAATGAGAATATTTTTTGCGCATATGGAGTCCTTGACATATCCTACACTGTCTTTTGATTTTCTCAACATTGTCCATTCTGTTCTAATGCGAGTAATGTTCGGGCGAACTTTTTTGTTTCGTCGCATCCTTTCATTATGCAAGATAGTATCGCCTAAATATTGAGGCCATTTATCTTCTTTGGTAAGATCGATGAAGCTCATCTAGTAAATTTTGAAGACATTTAGAACTCTATATACATGAGAGATGAAAAAAGTATAGTTGTGGTTGACGCGAGAATAAACTGCAATAGCATGGGAGCAAGGCACATGAAAAGTTTGAAATTCCCACAGTCACATGTTCGTTTTTGGAGGTCAATGTTGAAATAACTAAGTAGCCGACCATCATTATTATGAACCGTCTCTTGGACCACGAAGCAATGTCTTTCACGATCAAATGTCAAGACATTATAACTGTGGGATTTTTTTTACTTATTTTGCAATCTCTTTCATGCAGTTATCTGTGAATTCCTTCCCCAATGACAACATTTTTGTCCAGTCATGTCCTCGCTTCCTAAACAATGTTCCAATCTGAAGTATGTTGCTCTTACTTGCTCTGTAATAGGTAAATTGCGGGTTTCTTTCAGTACCGAGTTCAATGATTTAACAATGGTGGTTGTCATGTGGCCCATTGTGCTCCTCTGTCGTAAGCTCGCGACCATTTTTCTTTTGGAAGATTCTCTACCCAGTTGAAAGCTTTCGTGTTTGTTTGGCAGATCTTTTCCCTGTAGTATGCGTATGTAGACTCGTTTAATGCATACCCTATGTAAATGTATTAAAAACATTAGTATAAAAGAACTATATATTTAATAGTCGAATTGTAACTGTAAAAAATAGAGAATAAGTTACCCATGTTTACAACTTTCTTGCGAAGGTCTTTATCTTCGATCGCTCGCATAAAATTTTGTGCGATGTGCCTGATGCAATACAGATGTACTGATGTAGGGTTTTGCCAGCCATTGTCCGGGTTATTATAGACACTCTTTATGGACTCATGTCAGTCAGATATCAAACATATATCTGACTGGGGTGTGACGTGTAGTCTCAAATTTTCCAGAAAGAAACTCCAAGCCCCTCCCATCCCACCTTCAACCAATGCAAAGACGATTGGCAAAATGTTATCATTCCCATCTTGTGCAACAATCAGAAGCAATGTGCCCCTATATTTTCCGTATAGTCAAAGAATGGAAAAATACAAGAAAGAGAGGTTTGAATTGGAGTTTTTAAAACTGAAAGTAAAGAATAAGTTGGTTATCCTGGTTCGTTTGAACTCAAACTACTTCAGTTCACCCGTCAAGGTGATTTCGCCTCTCTCAACGAGGTCTTAATCCACTAATCAATCTTGATTACAAATCTACGTTGACAACCGTCAAAGTCTTCTTGAGTATGAACCACAATCCGATTTTTCTAAATGAATTTCTCTTAAACAATGTATGAATAAAAGTGTACAATGGTGTTTATAATAAAACAGTATCACAATACATGTGATGTTTTACACAGTTTGAATGTTGAATGTTTGAGGATAAAAAATGATAGCAGAGTTATTGTTCGTGTGTAAAATCGTGAACAATTTATCCTCAAGGCTTGTTTAAATAGGAGAAGCATGGATGACCATTTGGAAACTTGATAAATGACAATTAAGGTGCTTTCTAAAATAAAGATCCTTGTGTAAGTCTAAGAGTGCCTAAGAGGGGGGGTGAATTAGGTATATAAAAATTTATTCGGTTTTATGAGAATACTTGTAGCAATTTGTGGTTAAGTGTTTGAAGGTTTTTGACTATATCTTATCTTTTCTTGATTATGGTGATGAAAACGATAAAAGCGGAAAAGTAAAGAACACGATGATATATCCTGGTTCCCCTCACAATCCGAGAGTACTTCAGTCCCCTTTCCAACACGAAAGAGATTTCACTATAGTTTAGAATGATTGTACAGCCTATGCTTACTATCTAACCTATAGGGTGACCAAAGGTTCTTAACACCTTTAAGGTCAAACAAACACTAATGTGAATGAAGAACAATCCTCTTCAAATCACAACACTTACTTCCAACAATCCTGGATAGTAAGGGAATACTTTTCTTTTGTAATAAAATGATTTATTTGAAAGAGATGGAGAGCACTATCAATCTTTGATTGATCTTCTTCTTCAAGAAAGAAACAATTTTCAAGCAATGATTATAAATGTTCACAATGAATGTATGAAACTTGTAATGATTTCTTAATGAAAATGTATATGGCAAGTTTCACAAAATTTATGATTTGTAAGAACACTTGAAAGTTTGTAAGAATATGCAAATTTGAATGATGAAAATTGTTAATTGAAGAAGGTAATTTTAATTTGAAAATCTGCACAATTTATAATGTCACAAATACCTCTTCATTCATGCCATTTGATATGAAAAGATGCAATGCAATCATGAAAGAATACCATTTGAATTATGTTCAAAAAATAAAAGAAAATCTGTACTGGTTCGCTGAGAACCGGTTCCGACCCAGGCAGAACCCGGTTCCTAGTGAACGTTATAACCCAAAATTCAAAAATAACACGCAGGAACCGGTTCCCCTATAGGTACAACCCGGTTCCTGGTACAAATTCCAGGGAAGTGATTTTTGAACAAGTTTGGAACCCGGTTCCCTGTTAGGTAGGAACCGGTTCCTGAAAGTTTATTTTCAAAAAATCCTTTTGAAAAAGATTTCAAACATAGTTTTTCTTATTGTTAAAAATGTGGGATATGTATATGATTATGAATTCATATTTGTGAACATCTATATTCAAGTTTAAGAATTATTTATACCTTTTGACATTTGTTGTTTCTTTAATAATTCTTCTTCTAATCTTCAAGACTTGTAACAAGGTTTTATATGATATTGATAAACTTTTTGCACATCCTTTGAATGTTGATATCCATGTTGTCTTCATCAAAACCAATGCTTTAAACATGACTTGAGAAGCTTGCAATTACATTCTCCCCCTTTTTGATGATGACAACCAAGTCTTGAAAACAATTCTTGAAATGTTTATGTTGTTTTGTGTAGCAAAAATGTTAAGCAAATGCAAGGCTCCCCCTAAATTGTATGCTCCCCCTAAGTCCATGATTCTTTGAATTTTGGAGTGAGTTTTATGATAGTTATTTTGGCCTGCAATTTCTTTGAAACAAAACAACACATATGCATATTCTTCTCCCCCTTTGTTAACATCAAAAAGGATGGGGAAAAAGAGTGTACTGAAACATAAATTTTTTTTGAAGAAAAATTAAGACGTGCACCTTATGAGAAACATTTAGAGATCACCTTCATCCAAAATACCAAGTTCTCTTCGGATTTTGAAGAATGGTTCTCGAGCAAGCGATTTTGTGAAGATATCTGCGAGTTGGTTGTGAGTATCCACAAAAGTGACTTCGACATCTCCTTGAAGTACATGATCACAGAGAAAATGATGTCGAATATCTATATGTTTGGTTCTTGAATGCATGACCGGATTCTTTGTAATATTGATAGCACTTGTATTATCGCATCGAAGAGGAATGCATCCGAGATCAAGTCCGTAATCACGGAGTTGTTGCTTGAGCCAAAGAATTTGTGCACAACAACTACCCGCTGCTATGTATTCTGCTTCGGCCGTGCTAAGAGAAACACATGCTTGCTTTTTACAAGCCCATGATACTAATGCATTTCCAATAATGTGACAAGTACCACTTGTGCTTTTACGATCAGTTTTACAACCTGCATAATCTGCGTCAGAATAACCAATTAAAGTGCAAATACTACCTTTAGGATACCATAAGCCGACATTGGTTGTTCCTTTGAGATACTTCATGATCCTTCGTCGGATTTCTCGTCAAACTTACCGAGATTGTCTTTGTCATTGTTAAGAACAAAACACTTGCACCCGAAAATATGAAAGTGAGAGATATTTGGTTTTCTTCCTTTGTAAATCTCATATGGAGTTTTCTTTAGTATAGGTCTTATGATCACGCGATTGCTTACATAACATGCCGTGCTTACCGCATCCGCCA